GGGTTACTCTAACCCCAGTTGGACCCCGATATCCTGTCATTCTCTTAAACAATATCTGTTAGCTCCCATAGGGCATAACTGAAATGTGTGTGGCTAATTGTACATACCTCTGTTACTGTTGAAGGTAACTCAAAATGCTTATATTTCTCTGCCTGGATTATAAATACTGATAATCTTCATTAACTGGATACCTTGTACCCTTCTTCACCGTGCTTCTTTTACTTATTGAAACCTGTATCTACCTTCTGATTCTCTCGTTGATTTTTACCACATAGGTGGATAGATATTCATGCCTTAGGGATCTTTTTAGAGAAGCTTACACATTGTAGTACACACATGATCTGCTCAAGACCTTACATTTACTCATCATAAGTATGATGCAAAATCCAGTTCCTCTGACTCAACTCTTCCAAATCCAGTTCCTCTGTTCAGGAGTTTGAATTCTTACAACTGAGCTCTACCAGACGATCTAGAGTAAGAAGAAAGAGTAACATTCCTAAATGTCCTGTAGCCTCTTGCTTATAAGTGTGGTGCACAACATACCCATAAACAAGACTCTACTAGACACAGCTTGTAGACTTCCTAGGACAAAACTGCTCTGATACCACTTTTGTCATGACACAAACCGAAGGGCCGCGATGGGCAACCAGTGCCTAACTCAATCGAGCACCAACGTAAAATATCCTTCTTATCATATTATCATGGGTAAATGAACCAAAAATGTCATCATGAGATAACCAGAATTAAACATATACATACATACATATATACATATACATACATATATATATATATATATATATATATATATATAAAACCTTATATTCATTACAATACATCACCAAAACAGTCCACACCATCTCACCCAACTACCAAGTTCTAACTTGCACTTTTCCAAGCCTTCTCTTCTTCCAAACACATCAACCACAATAGCACTAGTATTCTTAAGTTATTTCTACTGATTTCCAGCTATAAAATATCAAGAATTCAACTCCAAAATAGTCCAGCAACTACAACACTTCAACATAAAGTTCAACCTACTTCACAAGTTCCCTTTATCAAATCAACAAGATATACATAGATGATCTTAAATACATATAGGAGAAGTTAAACCTTACCTTGGAAGCAAGAATACTTGTCCAACTAATCTTTACTTCAACTTCAAACAAGCTCTTTACCCCCAAAAAATAAAGTAGAGAGATAACTAGGTGATCTTGATCTTCCAAGAGAGAAATCACCTTACCAACTTGTGGATTTGGTTTTGAACCCTAGGATAACGTTGAGAGAGGTCTTGGGATGATATTTTGGAGCTCCTTCACATTGCAATAGAGAGAGAAGGATCTTAAATTATTTTCTAAGTAAAATATCTATGTATATATGGCCCTATTAATGGGCTTGGGCAGATGGGTTGGGTTGCCCATCTCTATCCTTTTTCTTTCCCTTTTAATTTGGTCCACAAACTCTAAGTAGGTGATGCACCTACTTGTCACCTACTTAATCAAGTAGGTGATACATGTTGGTTCCTTTTCCATTTTAAAACATGTGTCTCATCCTCGTTAAATAATTTAGACATGTATCGAGTAGCTCAAGCAAGTAGGATGGAAAGTAAGTTTATGAAGCAAGAACGTCGGGTAAGCAAGCAACTCATTTTTATTTGTCCAAAATATCCTTTCTCACGTTTAAGTGCATTCGTCCTCAACCTAGTCGTTTGTATGTTTAAAGGAAATACGGGATGTAATATCATCCGATTACTTCATATACTTTCAAAGAGGATCTCATTTCCGATCTTACATCAATTGAATTACGACGTATGTTTGTGAAGAAAACATGGGGTGTGACAACCGGTATGTGCAAAAGAAGTACAAAAGTGTAGTATGAGTACAATCGACCCCATATACTCTGTAAGTTCCAAGCCTAACCTCGACGAAGTAGTAACGAGGCTATGACAAGATACACACTACAAACTTGTGCGGATATTAGTAGAAAAGAAATAATGCACTAAAGGAACAACTAATTAACATCACAAATCCGAGATAAGAATGAAAACATAAGGCCCCAGAATGTCAGCACTACTCCGTTTCACAACACAATACGGTAACAAAAATCAACAGTCAAGGATAATCACAGTACATTATCTTTGTTGCGACGCGCAACCCGATCCTTATATATAATACCAATACCGTTCCGAACTCTTCTCAATATAAGTACTATTGCAGCATGTAACCCAATCCTCATATATGCAATTTCTCTGTTGCAGCTTGTAACCCGATCCCATGTCAACATATATATCGTTGCAGTATGCAACCCATTCCCATTGGTTCAACGATATCACAATCAACTACGGCGTACCTCAAAACGTAGTATAAAAGGGAAACTAAACGCATAAGTTCTCCAAACAACCGATATAATGAAGCAAAGGGAAGTAGAATCAAGTAAGGCGAATAAACGGGTAACGACATAAGACAAGTAAATCATTTATCCAATAACATGTAAACGTATAAACCAAGTAAAGACGGACAACTAATAAAGGCACGGATACATGGAGCATATAGCAAATGGAGGCATGTGACAAGTAAAGACATGTAATGAACAAGTAAAGATATGTAGTAAGTAAGGGATGAATCAAGTAATAACTTGGAATAAACGAAGGCATAATATAATTGGAAATATGTAATTAATTACTCCACCCCGCATGCTTAAACACCTGACAACACATATACACTCATCACCTTACATATATGTCGTCCCCACACATAATTCATGTAGAAAATAAACCAAACAAGTCCTAATTCCCTCAAATCAAAGCTAACCACGATACTTACTTCTGTTTCTTCAAGGTTGGGCTTCTTCTGCCTTTCTAACTACTTGATCTCTTGTGGGAGGTTCTCAAGCATCATGCTTTCGTCGTACTCTTTGTAGTCTGGATCATTTTGATCAAGGGTTTCGTTACATGTCATAATCGCGGAGCGCGGATTTTTATTACTGAAAAGGAAAAGTAAGTATAAATAAGAGCGAAAAAATGAATTTGTAATGATTTTAGAAAAAAAATAATTCTTTTTATTTCATCAAAAGGAACGTCTCAACGTTCAAAGAGGCAATTTGACAAAAAACGTACAGGCATGGTTGAGGCCTAAATTGATCGTGCATTTTTTAAAATTACTACAATTCTACACTACCAATACTCCCGGCGAACCAGAGATGGATTGGCGATCCAATTTTGTAAGGCCTCTGCTGGTTCGGCATCCCGAATGGTCGGTTTCTTGATATCAGCTTCATCACAACATTCCTCGATCATAGTCACGAACAATCTTCCTATTCCATCAATGATGTCATCTTCTGGTGGTGAGCCCTGACCCGGACCTGGAACATACACTGGTACAAAAGCCTTCTTCCCAAGATTACCAGTATAAGTCTTTCCAATTGTAGGTTGATACCCCAAGCCAGCGGTACCCTCCAGCCCTTTTGGTTCAATTGGCTTTGTTATCCCATATGATTGGGCTCCTAGCTTGGTCCCTAGCCGGTACCCATACTTCATCAACTCTTGCATTGCCATCTTTGACCAGTACGACGACTGCATACCGTGGTTCTGCTCATTCTTCTCCATCTCCGTTGCCTGCATGATCTCGACCGCATGAAAGGTAACCCCATCTAATACTTTTACGAAAGGGACTGCGTGGTCCAAGTAAGCTAACCGGCTCCACTACCCATGTATCACAATCTCTTGGCAATCCCACTCGAATTTCATATTGGGAACTCAACTGGTCCAATCTGTAAGGCTAGGTAAATTTCTCCAATAACATTCTTCTGCAACCCATCGAAAGCCCTTACTCTTACACGGGTTTCTTTCACTTCCCTCAAATGAATACTCAATTCTCGCACAATAGAGAACAGTAAAATATTTACTCCGCATCCTCCGTCGACAAGTACTCGGGATATAATTTTATCCTCACACATGACTATGATGTGCAGAGATCTGTTATGATCCATATTATGATATGCAGAGATCTGTTATGATCCATACCCTCCACAGGGAGTTCATCTATCCGAAAGGAAATCATGTTTGCTTCGACCATCTTTACAATAGTTGTTGCTAACGCCTCGCTGGTAGTATTGTCTGGCACACTTATTCCGCTTAGAACCTTCACCAAAGCATGCCTATGACTGTCGGAGCTCATCAATAAATCCATGATCGATATGTGAGTAGGGGTCTTCCTCAACTGTTCCTCCATGGAATACTCTTTAACTGGCATCTTCGTCCAAAACTATGTCGCTTCGGCATCTGTTATGTTTCTTCTTTGATTCTGTTCTCTACTCGGATTCCTTCGGTTCACCTCTTGTGGAGCGTAACAGCTTCCTGACCTGGTCATCTCGTGAGTAGTTATAGAGTCTATCATTCTACCCTTTCCTTTATGCTCGTACGTCCACGACACTGTTTTGTATTCTCAACTCTCCTCACTTCTGGCGGCAGCGGTGGACCATTGTTCGTATGTTTCCACCATCACAAGAGGTTTCAACTGCACGGTAATCAAAGAAGTCCTTCAGGGTGGCACCCTTGCAGCTTTGGCATTCCCAATAGTGATGATGGTACCCTTCAGATCATAATCCAAGTCCAATGCAATCATGTTGGCTCCTTGATTTCTATGATTTGACAGTGGGGTACGATTTACATTTGGTGGAGCCGGGGTACATTGTATGGCTCCGTTTTTAATTAGCAGCTCAATTTCATTATTCAATCTATATCAGTCCTCAGCGTCGTGCCCAGGAACACCAGAATGGTATGCACAATATTTGGTCGCGTCAGAATATTTGGAGGGTTGGTCAGAGATTCTTCCTTCCACTGGGTATATCAGCCTGACTCTCTTTAGACTTTCAAACAACTAGGCTAAGGATTCAGAGATTGGAGTGTAGTTTATGGGAATTCTTTCTTCAAAGTTTGGGCGTGGTCGTGGTACATAGGCGAGTCTATTTTGATGGGTGGTGGTTTGGAATGGAGCATATGGTCATGGTGCTCGGGGTGGGTTGTATTGAGGTCTAGCATTGTAGTATAGTTGGGTGTTATATACTGAGGCGTAGGTAGGTTGATGTGAAGGATGAGTTTTTATGGGGTAGGAATTATTTCTGTGAGGAGGACTATACTGATAGTAGGGAACAATTATTGCTACTTCCTCTTTCTTCTTCTTCTTCCTACTACCTATAGAACCAGATTGTGTTGCCTTTCTGGCATCTTGCAGCGTGGCCATCGACTGTATTTTGCCTGATTTGATGCCTTCCTCCAAGTAGTCTCCTATCCTAACCAGCTCAGAAAATTTCTGACACATTATACCTATCATCTTTTCAAAATAAATCCCCTCTTGGGCCCTGATGAAATACTTGGTTAGCTCATTATCGTCGAGTGGGGGTTGGGTTCTGGCAGCCTTCGATCTCCAGTGGCGAGCATACTCTTGAAACGATTCTGAGGGTTTCTTTTGCAAATTCACTAAGTCCAACCTGTCTGGTGTGATATCGGTATAAAACCCGAATCGGTTCATAAAATCCTTTGCCATGTCTTTCCACTCTCTCCAATTTCTGGGATCCTGGCGGGTATACCAAGTGAGCTCTTCTATTGTTAGACTCCTTTTAAATAACTTCATTCTCAGCTTTTCATTTCTTCCTATCCCGATCACCTTATCGCAGTAGGCCTTCAAATGCGCATGGGGATCACCCGTTCCATTGAAAATGTCAAACTTTGAAGGCTTATACCCTACATGCATGTCAACATCGGGATGTATACACAAGTCCTCATAATCCAGGCTCCCGCTCCCTAGAGCAACTTGGAGATTCTTCATCTGCTTTCTGAATACTCGCAACTCTTATAACATTGATTCATCTCCCTTGTACTTTTCTTTTTTCTCCGTCTCAGCATATTGATCAATCTCATATGGCACTCTAACCGTTATGGGCATGGTAAAGATGGGTTCTGAGGTGGCATATATAGGGGGAATATACCACCTTATGTGTGGCAGTGTGTGCCGCAGGTATGTGCCGGGTCTGATTATTGGCAAAAGTGACGTTGTCACGAGGAGGGGTATGAATTAGTTGGTGGTGACTGGTATATTTTGTGGTGTTTGGATATAATTCAGGACATAGGGTGTATGTATACGAGGGTTTGGTGGATTACTGGGGGCTACTGGTGGTATAACTTAGGTTGTGGGATTTGTGGTGACAGTGGTTGGGGTACTGGTTATTTGTCGGGTGGTTGAAGAGAAATGATTAGGGATTGAATCTAATGAAGGGAAGTAGAGTTGTTGCGGAAGCGTCGTCACAACCAAGTGTGCTAGTTCCCGGATATGCTGTACTTCCTCGCTCAATGACTCCATTTTTTGTGCCATTCTAGCAACGTGCTCATCATTTCAAGTATCATGCTTTTCTCTCGATTGCCTTGGGTTGTCGTCTATTACTAGAGCATTTCTGGCCGGGTTGTCAGTTGCATACATCTTTCCCTTAGATCTCAGATTGTACAGTGGCTCGGCCAGGTTTACGTATCAACATAAACCAACCTCTATTTTCAGGGGATAAAAATAAAGAAATAAAGTGAGAAAATAAGGAAAAGTAAAAGTTAGTTTCAGAAATTGCACAAATATAAGCACATAGGGAAGTTAATTCACGTGTTCAGATAAGCGCATTTCCTAAGATGCGTAGGACCTCTCTTTGCCAGAGGTAGGCCTATATCGCGAATGTTTGGCGAATAATCAGATTTTGACACGTTTAGATACAGAGCAAACTGTGGTCTTTCATTGATAGGCTTTGGATTATAATAGATGGGAGCGGTGGTTAAAACATTGTGTTTCAAAGTTCACAAGATTACATGGGCTCATAGGCTTGCCCTTAGGGAAATGAAAAGGGTACAAGATAAAGAGAAATCAACCAACCACTAATAATCGTCCCCAGATTCACCTCCCAAGCTTTCTTCTTCAGGCTCCTCCTCAAGGTCCTCTTTGACTTCTTCCTCCTCCTCGTCGTTGTTGTACTCAGGCTCTTCTTCGGGATCCTCTTCTAGTTCTATTTTTGATTCAATTTGTATCTACTGGATCACCTGATGATCGTCCTCCAGTGGTGGCAACATGTTGTCGACCTACCCTGGAACTACTTGCCAATGCATGGCGGGGCTAATGAGATAGTGGGGTAGAATCTCATGGTATATATGCAGAGCTGCTGCTAAATACTCTAGTGTTAGTCACTCTCTACTAGGTCTGGCTAACTCATCCTCCTCATTGTCCACATGAAGTATTCAGGAGTGCACCAGGAATTCTGACCCATTGGCATCATGATCAAGTCATTCCATTCATCTTGAAGTCTCTTCACCCTTGGGATTGAAATTTGTCCATTGTAGTTATCCTCGTATAAAGCAGTCCTTGACCAAAGGGGCACATCTTAGATCAGACCAAATTGCCTTAGAACCCACAGAGGTGCATATGGCTAAATTCCTTCAAGTCCCACCAACTTGATGAAGTATTTTCCGTGGCTCCTTAAGATTGCCCTGCCATTTAACCATGAAAGCTTCCAGTTTACCCATTCTCCACTCAGATAGGTCAGCATGCCTCTCCACTCCTCTTGCCCGTGCGGTGCAACCCAATGAATCATCCTCTTGTTATAGCTCCTGATCATGTTACTGACGTCCATAAAATAGTCGACTGTTGCCTCCCTCTAAAAGAAATGTTCTGTGGCCCATATCTGGAGTAGTGGGTAGCAGCCTTTGAAAAATTCATATCCTATAGAGCATGCTGACAAAGCCCGAAATGTCTCTGCTAATATCATGTTAACAAGGGTGACTTGCAGATTCCCTTAAATGGGTACCAAGACGAGGGGCAACAGGTTGATGTTGATTCATCCTTTTCTTTGCGGGAAGACCAGTAATTCCAACAATGCCAGAGAAAAGGTTAGAGGGCGTAGACTCTCCCACGTTGCTTGATCGCAATGAAACTCCTTCGAATGCCACTCGTAACTTTCCTAGTGTCCGAATCTGCCGAACATCTAGTCCAAACTCACCCATCCATCTTCAGTGTTTCTCAAATTCCTGTTGTTTGTCAGACCGAATGAATGAAGGAACCAGTGGCCGGGCATGACAACTGGTAGTATTGGTTTTCTCCCGGCAAACGACAATATGAAGCTAGCGTTTCTTCCTATGTTGGTGCCAATTCACAATCGAAGAACTGACAAAGCCGTTCTATGCAACTAGAGAGTTTTGAAAGAAGGTTTGGAGGGGTATAAAAGACAACCCTCGCATGTCATTTGTGTGTGATATTGTACGGCCAAGACTCGATAGGAAAAAATGTGATGACAGTGTATAAAGCAATAATAGATAATTGGGATAACAGTAGCAATATTAAGATCAATCAAATTAGTACATGTTAAACAAGATAAGTAAGCACGTATTTTCAAAGTTAAAGCATAATTAAAGCATATAAACAAATGTCCTTAAATTTTAGATCTAGCCTAAGTCTGCTACGATCAGAACCTATGTGTAAGAACTTTGGAGGCTTGCACCCTGCCAACATATGAACATCAGGGTGTATACATAGGTCCTCATAATCCAAGATCTCGCTCCCTCGAGCACTTGGAGATTTTTCATCTACTTCCTTATTACCCGTAGGTATTCCAATAGTGACTTATTTTCTTTGCATTTTGATTCTCTCTCTATTCCGGCATATTGGTCTATCTCATAAGGCACTCTGACCGTGACAGGTGCGATAAAAGTGGGTTCTGATACGGTATATATGGGTGGAACATATTGCTCATGTGTAGCGGTGTGTGCCATAGGTATATATTGCGTATGGGTGTTGGTGAAAGTGAAGTTGCCATGAGGAGGTGTGTGGACCAAATTGGTGCTGGTCGGTTGATTTTGTGGTGCTTGGACATAGTTGGGAACATAAGGTGTGTGTATGGGAGGGTCTTGTTGATTTGTGAGGGTTACTGGCGGTACGACTTAAGTTATGGCATGGTTTGTGGTGATAGCACTTGGAGTATAGTTGTTTGTCAGTCGATCGAGGAAAGTGGTCGGGGATTGAAGCAAGGGATGGAAAATGTGGTGGTTTTGGAAGCGTCGTCACGGCCCGGTGTATCAACTCCCGGATTTGTTGTACCTCTTCTCTTAATGACGCCATCTCCTATTCCATTCGGGCAACATGTTCGTTATTCCGAGTCTCGTCCCTTCCCCCTGATCCCCCTTGGTTGTCGGCTACCACCAAAGCATTTCCGCCCAGGTCGTCTATAGAAGTCATCTTCCCTTTAGACCTTAGGTTGTACGGTGGCTCGGCCAGTTTATATATCAACACAAATCAACCTCTGTTTCGGGGATAAATAAATAAAGCAATAAAGCAAGAAAATAAAGAAACGTAAAAGTCAATCTCAGGGATTGCATAGATATAATCACATAGAGCAGTTAGTTCACATATTCAGACAAGCATATTTCCTAAGATATGTAAAGACCTCTCTTTGCTGGAGGTAGGCCTATATCGTGAGTATTTGACAAACAATCAAATTTTGACACATTCAGATCTGGAGAAAACTTAATTTTTCATTGATGGGATTTGTGTGTTTCAATATGGCTTCATCACTGCTACAAAGATGGGGATAGCTATCACTAGCTACAACATGATTCTCAAAGTTTACATTAGGTTGAATGGGCTTATAGAATCGCCCTTAGGAAATGAAAAGTAAAAAGTACAAAAGGGGAAATCAGCCATCAACTTAATAGTCGTCCCCGGAGTCTCCTCCCAAGCTCTCTTCTTCTGGATCTTCTTTAGGATCCTCTTCAACCTCCTCCTCATCCTCATCATGGTTGTACTCTGGTTCTGTCTCAAACTCGATCTGTATGTATTCGACTATCTGGTTGTCATCATCCAGCGATGGCAGCATGTGGTCGACCGATCCTGAAACTACATGTTGATGCATAGCAGTGGTGACGAGATAGTGAGGTATGATCTCATGGTATATCTGTAAGGCTGCTATCGAGTCCTCTAATCAGGTTAATCCCTTTTCTACTCAGCCTGGTCAATTCATCTTCTTCATTGATCCACACAAAGTACTCAGGCGTGCACTAGTGGTTTTGCCCCATTCTCATTGTGATCAGGTCGTTCCACTCGTTCTAGAGCCTTCTTACGCTCGAGATTGGAATCTGCTCGTTATAATCACCCTCATACAAAGTTGTCCTTGACCAAAGAGGCACATCTTGAACCAAACCAAACTGCCTCAGAACCCTAAGTGGTGCGTACAACTGAATCTCTTCTAGACCTACCAACTCGATGAAGTACTTCCCTAGGCTTCTCAGGATCGCTCAACCACTCAACCAAGAAAGTTTCCACTTGATAAATTCTCCACTCAGATGGGTCAAAAGTTCTCGCCACTCCTCCTGGTCATGTGGTGTAGCCCAATATCTTATCCTTTCATTATGCATGCGGATCATGTTACCAGTGCCAACAAAGTAGTCAATGTCGTCTCCCTCTGGAAGAAATGCTCCATAGCCCATATCTGTAGTAGCAAGTTGCAGCCCATTAAGAAATCGTATCCTCTTGAACATGTCGACAGTGCTCTTAACATCTCTGCCAGTATCATAGGAACAAGGGTGACCTGTAGATTTCCTCGGAAGGTAGCCAAAACCAAAGGAAGTAAGTTGATATTGATCCGCTCTTTCCTTTGTGTGAAAATTAGAAGTTCCAAAAGTGCTAAAGAAAAGTTCAGGGGGCGAAGGCTCTTCCATGCCGCTTGATCACACTGGAACTCCTCAAGATGCCACTCATAGCTCTTCCGGTGCCGAAATTCCTGTTGCTCCTCAGACCTAGTGCATAGA